CCGCTGCTGCCCCACCACCTGAAGGGCGTGTTACAGTCCGTGCAGCCCTCGCCAGCAGGACCCTGAGCCAGACGAGGACGACGAGGAGGAAGGCTCTCGAACTCCCAGTCCGGCTGCCTCGGCACGCGACGAGGACTACGTGCTGGAAGATGTCACTGACAGCGATGCCACACCTCCGTACCCCGGATACCACGGGGAGGAAGCCAGTGAGCAGGACGATGACGACGCTCAAACGATCAGCAGCGACAGCGAGCCAGACGATGGTGCTCCCTCGGCGGCACACTACCAATGACAGGAGAGGGAACGGTGCGGCTTCGGGGAGGGATCGTGGATCCAGCTGATCCACACCCGCTATACCTCCATCCTCATCGAGGCCCCCTTCCGGCCGACTCCCGACCCGATCGTCACCTTTCCCCCGTCACCGAAGAGGCTATGTATAATGGCCCTGACGAGAACTGGGAAGTGGACATGGAGAACACACCCGCAGTCCAGTTCGCCGTCCCCAGCACTGGGGGAGGATGCGGCCCCACCCATCTTCCCGGCGACCGGGCAGGTGACAACGCCCCACTGGCGTCAACGAGCAAACAAGCGCCCACCAGACATATGACAACGCCTCCCCACTGGCGTCAACGAGCAAACAAGCGCCTTCCACACCACCAACCAAACATACGACGACGCACCACTGGCGTCCACAAGCCAACAAGCGCTCCGCATCATCAGCGACCAGATCTACGACGACGCACCACTAGCATCCTCAAGCCAAGGCTCGATCCCCACCGCCAACGAGACCACCGATCAGGGATAACAGCTTACAGGAAGGCTATGCAGTGGGAGTCTGAGTCCAGTGATAGTGAAACAGAGACGGGACAGAAGTTCCGCCGCAAGGAGACGCAACCCCCGACCTCCGCCGGATGTCGCCGCGCCAAGCCGCCGATCCTCGACTCATCGCCGTGTGATATCCACCGAGGAGAATATGCCGCCCAATGCTGGTGTGAGACCAACCGCCGAACATCAAACCCACAGCAGCGCCACGATCAACGAGGAGGTCACCCCACCGGCCACCCCACGTGTAGGCCCCGGAGATCGCGGGTTCGACCTCTCTCCAGGCACGCTGGACGTGCTGATGGAGGAGCTCGAGCCGGGAGTAGAAGGTCTTCTTACAGGACTTCATCCCAGACTGGGACCCGAGTGCACTTCCGACAGCGCCACGCTTCGCTTGCCCAGCCCCCGCCACCACCGCCGACGGCGTCCCACCTTCCGCGCTTCGCTTGCCCAGTCCCTGCGGCCACCACCGCCGACGAGGTCCCACCTCCAGCGCCACGCTTCGCCTCGCCCAGCCCCGGCCACCACCGCCGACGAGGTCCCACCTTCAGCGCCGCGCTTCGCTTGCCCAGCGTCCCTGCGGCCACCACCGCCGACGAGGTCCCACCTCCAGCGCCGCGCTTCGCTCGCCCAGCCCT